ACTGTACCGAGCCTGTCTCCCGATCAGTGGGTAGGATACATGGGACTAGGGTACTGTACATTAATAGGAGGGAGCTGGGCCTTCTACGCCTGTCCAAGGAGGGATCGGCCAGTGATCTGCTAGTCCATGGGTGAGGGACAAAGCTGCATAGAGTGGGCCCGCAATACACCCAGTTGGAGATTGGAGCCGCAGGGGAAGAACCCGATCTCTTAGTGGCAAGCTGGTAGGTGTGGAAGGGACACAACTTGCGATAGGACTTAGGGCTGTAAGCCCTTAGGGGTCTCCGTCGAGGAAGGTCCGGAGGGCCAAGTAGGTCACTCTGAGCTTCGAGTGGTAAAAGCCCGGAGAGTTGTCCTGCGCCTGATACCCTGCCTCTACAACAACCTCGGCATTTTTTCAGAGGAAAACAAAAAGAAAAAAAAAAAAAAAAAAAATGCAGGGGGGGGGGGGAAGAAGAAGAAGAGGACGAAGAAGAAGAAGAGGAAGAAGAAGACGAAGAAGAAGAAGAAGAAAAAAAAAAAAAAATGCAGGGGGAGGAGAGGAGGAGAAAGGGGGGGGGGAGGGGGTGAAGAGAGACTGCACACCTCAACTTTGGCATGTCATATTGGGAGCAGCAGCGGCCTGATCATTGATCCAACAGGCTGCTATGACTGAAAGCCATCGATCACGTAGCACTCACCGCACAGCCTCCCGCTTACCAGGTACATTCTCGGAGTTCAACGAGCTTTTCAGACCTGGAGCCAAACTCGTCCTCGAATACTTCCATCTGTCTTCGGCCTTACTTCCTGCTACATACATCTTGGAAATTCCTAGTATGGGTATGCACTTAGTTCGAGGAGGTTTTCAGACCTGAAGCCAAACTCGTCCTGGGATACTTCCGTCTGTCTTTGGCCTTAATTCTGGCTACATTCATCTCAGAAATTTCTAGTCTGGGTATGCACTTCGTTTGAGGAGCTTTTCAGACCTGAAGCCAAACTCGTCCTGGGATGCTTCTGTCTGCCTTTGGCCTTAATTCTGGGTATATACATCTCAGAAATTCCTAGTATGGATATGCACTTAGCGAGTGACAAGTGTAGTCCTGCAGTTCGGAGGAGAGATGTCCACCTTCCCAGTAAGCGGAGATGGAAGCCCCAGTGTCAATGAGGGCCCAGAAGGAAGTTCCAGTGTCAATGAGGTCCCACAAGGATGTCCCAGTGTCAATGAGGCCCCAGAAGGAGGTCTCAGTGTCAACAAGGCCCTGGCACAAAGTTTTTTCCAGTGCACTGTCGCATGATTCCCATGACGAGTCCCTATGAAATCTTGTGGTTATATTTTCCCTGAATACCAAGGGACCACACTCGTACTCTTTTGTACACTATTCTATAGGGTTTGAACTTCCGTTCTGGCGATCGACGGTAAAAGAAGCATCCCATGTCACCCCTATGGGCATTTGATGGCCTATCTAACCCCCTACCCAAACCCCTATAAGAACCAATTGGTATCTAATAAGCCAGTCACTACCCTTACATGCAGTATTCAACAGGATTTGAACTTCCATTCTGGTGATCTACGGTAAACGAAGCATCCTATGTCACCCCCTATGGACATTTGATTGCCTATCTAACCCCCCTACCCAACCCCTTATTTAAACCCCTACTAGAACCCATCGGAACCTCAGCCAGTCCAACCGTACTTTCCAGCATAGGATGAAAATGCCCTAGGTAGAAGACAATTTTTATTTTCATTTTCCAAAAGCTGGCAGCCCCTGACATTATTTTATTCTTTTATTTTCATTTTCCGAAAGCTGGCAGCCCCTAACATTATTCTACCCATCTGAGCCAACCAGGATTCAAACTCGTAACTTTTCCATTGACAGTTTTGATGGGCTACGTGCTCTAGGAGCAATTGTGCTACCGTCTTGAACGTCTCCCCCCGAAACGAACGTACAGTCATTACAGCCGCGACCTACTTCTCACATCTTTTTAATATCATATTTGGCTCAATTTTCAGTCTAGATACAGCGATAACGACCATTCATTGTATTTGCGCGAAGGTGAGAGGGCCATCTTCAAAGTTTCGACCACGGATCGGTTGAAGCTTCACCATGTAGGTCATCTACGTCATTTGGAAGAGGAGATGCCAAGAAGCAATCGCCAAGGACCACTTCCCCATAGAAAATGTGTGGGACCGATTTCTCCAAACGCTAGAGACTGAATAGGAAAAAGATTGGGTCGGGACCAAAAGGGAAATCAGTAAGAACCCGAAGAGGGCCCATAAAAACAGGACAACTTCGGCTGCAAGGTGCTGGGGGCTGGCAGGATCGCCACAGTGGAAAGGGGGGGGGGTATACGGTTCATGTGGAGACGAGTGTATACAGGCAAGCTCGGTACGTAGAGACAGGGGGACGAATTGCTTCACAGCATACACAGGTCGGCTAGCCTGAGTCAAAGCATCGTCCTAAGGAGCAAACAGGGACAGGGGACGTGGGAAGTCAAGGGCGATAGCTTGGTAGGCCAGAGCAGGCAGTGTTGAGGGGAGGTACATCCTCCCTTCAAGAGGTAATCAATACTCGCCCGCTCGGGTCCCTCGAAGCATAATGGTCGGAAGTGTCGGAGTATGTTCGTCATGTAATCATCTCTGACTTGCTGGTGGAATAGCAACCGGACTGATGCTCCCCAAAATTAATATTGAGCCGGAACCATACGGTTCTTTTTTGCAAAAAAAAAAAAAAAAAAAAAAAAAAGAAGCTTCACCACGTGGCTAGGGGTCAGGCCCCAGTGGTGCTATGTTGATGCCAAGAAAGGATGAACCTGGGTCATAAAAGGTAGCCATGTTCATGCTTTCCTAACACAAATATAGCACCAGTGGAGCCTGCCTCTAGGATTCCTCGACGGAGTAAACAGTCAACGCATAGAAAGAACATATCTGTCCTCCCCTGAAATGCCGATGGAGTCAACGGAAAACACAGTGTGAAAACACTCGACACTTTCCATTTGTCCGTGATTTAGCGATATGCCAATTTGGGCACAAAAATTGGCCATGTTCATGGTTTCTGAGCAAAAATATAGCATCAGTCGGGCTTGGCCCTAGGAATGGCAGAGTCCATTTGTCTGTGATTTAGAGTGCACTCACACTAGGACTTCTGTCCATTACATCACCAGTTCTTGGGCCATACCATGGGCGGGCGACACGTCCATTACATCACCAGGTTTTCACGGGATGACACGTCTAAAAACTAAGAAAACAAACAAAAGAAAAACAAAAAAACTTAGAGAAGAAAAAAAATGTTTTTTTTTTTGTTGGGGTAT